GGGCCGGTGTATGCCTACGGCCTCGTAGAATTTGGAGTCGTGGCGCAGGCCCTGTTCCATCAAGTAGCGTTTCATTTCGTTGGAAGTTGTCACCTGCACGGCTTCCCGAGTAAACCTTTCGATGTATTTCCGGAGAGGTTCGTCGGGGCCTTGGATGATTGCCCCGAGGACTGCTTCCGTCTTCGGGTGACGCCGGGATGCCGTGAAGTGTTTGGAGAACAGGTCCTTCAAGACCCTCCACGACGTAACTGATTCGGGCTCCAGACTTTTGTACCAGGTCATAGCGCCTTTCCTTAGAGTCGTCGGGAAGAGTCTGCATTTGATAGCTCCCCGGACGTTTCGGTAGTCGAGCATAGCCTCGATATCTTCCAGGTGATCGTCCGGGTCGGAGGTGCCGTCGTATGTCGACAGCGTCGGTGGTTTCTCCATTCCCTGGGGTATGGGGGCCGCCATGATCTCCCGGGATAGCGGGGTGCGGTAGTCATCCTCGTCGCTGTGCGCCGGGGATCTGTGGGGAGATGAGCCGTTCACGGTGTGTCCCGGGTTTCGGGTCCTCGATCTCCTGCCTGAGTTCTCGCCTCGGGGTTCCTCGGTTGGGATCGCCGCGGCGTTCTGGTTCCTCCCGCGACCGTGTCTCGCCGGGGATCTGGTGCGTTCACGTGTCGCCTGCGGGCGGCGTCTCTCCAGCCGTGGTCGGCGGTTCCTGGGTCGAGGTGAGGGGCTCCTCGAACCTCCGTTCTGGTCTTCCCGCTGGGGGTACCTCGGCGGGTCGATGCGTTCTAATGCCCCGATTCTCGCATTTTGTTGGAATAGCAGCTGGTTCGTCTGGTTGATGGCTGTAAAGAGAGCGGCCACCGTTGGGTCTGCTCCCGCCGGGATGGGAACGGGGTGGAATGCTGGCGGGCTCGGGGGGCGGTGGTCGGCCTGCAGGGGCCGTTCCTCAGATGATGGTGAAGCAGTTTGCCCGTCCCTTTCGTCGGCTTCCGTCAGATGTGCCGTTCCTGTCTGCTTCCCGTTGGTGGCGACGTTGAGCGCAAGGTCGTGCGGAGTGTCATCGCGGCGTGGGCTGGCCATGACCGTGGAGGTTTGGTGAAACTTTTGATTTTCTGCTCGGAGTAACGAGGAAGTTTCAAGTTCCCACAGACGGCGCCACTGATCTGACCTGACCAGGAGGGGATCACGGACTGGCCACACTCCGTTGGGCTGCTACCTGTTCGCCGGGTGAGAAAGAGGAGGGGGTGTACCTGCAAGACACTCCGATGCCAAAGTAAGAAGTTGGGCAGAGTGGAAGCAATAACACAGAAAAAGGGCAAGAAGAGTTACCTGACCCTCTTGAAGAAGAGGGTATTTATAGAGAGACCCCAGCGCTGGGCCAACGGTCATTCGAGGTGGGCTGGATGACCAGGCCCAACCCTAATGACTGCTAGGGCTTACGTGGCGTAGTGAAGACCAGGACGTGGTCTTCGCCCTAGTTCAACTGCCCCTAGATCCCCGGAAAGTGGGTTTGACCTGCTCTTTCGGAGGTGGGCAGCTGGTCGGTGACGTGTCCCCGCGGAGGGGAGCACGTGGAGAACGTGCGCCGAGCACGTTATTCTCCCCGCGGAGGGGAGCCCGGGTGGTTCTGCTCGTCCGGCGAGGTGGACGACAGAAAGGGTGTGGAGACGCAGCTAGCACCTCGGCGGCATGTACCAGCTCGTCTCGAAGGGGGCACGTGCCCGGCGTGCCCGGTCCGCTTGTTGGGCCGCATGCGGTATTGGACCTACCGAGGTGAGGCCTACACCGGAACAATTATTATAGTATACGTCAATCAATAAAATGTTATCGCTACATTAGACTTATGAATTAACATGGTGATAATAGATTATTGACCAATACCCTAAAAAAAATGATTAATCATCTTTTTTGATGGTGGAAACTGAACCCCCTGTATCATAATTTAAAACGATCTTTAAAATGTTGACTTAATATATTTAATTCGGGATTTTGAATTCCTAAATTTTGAATGTTTTGCACATTGGAATGTCGTTACAAGCGGAAAATTACACAACCTTTGTTGACTGTACCTTTGCTGTAAAGTTGACAAAATTCACTTTGTTGACTTGTTAAGGAAATTCTTATATTATAACTAGGTGAATATTCTTTAGAAAAAAAAACTCGTGGATGCATTGAGATTATTACCCATACATTTTCTTTTTACACGTACTCCACCATCCACCATGTGACCTTGTGGCTTGATGCAATAATTGTTTAAAAAAATATATAAAAAAAAAGAAAGAACGAGAGAAAGGACATACAGTATTAGAAAAAAATTATTAAAAAAAAACTGTTACTTTTTTAAATAAAAAACAAAAATACCAGACATTGATATGTGTGAGAAGAGTTTCGACCCCTTCAAAACCTTTGGTACAAGTAACGAAAAATGCTTCGTACATTTATTTAATTAATATAATGCTTGCAGTATTACTATTTGCTATAGTTCTCTTTTCACATTAGTAACACATTAATAATGCAAGATATAATAAAAATATAATTTGTCTCAACTTTAAAAAGAGTGTTTGACTCGCAAAATGATAATATTGTGCAGAATACTACTCAATAAATTTTTGTATTATACGATGTTGGATGAACAATTAATAAGAAAAATAAAATAAATAAAATCTACCATACACGTTTATAAATGTCAATATTATCAGAGGAGGATTAATTATAATATTTTTTAATAGAATATAAATATTTTTTTTATATTTTAAGTAACTTGTATTAGCGACAAAAATATATTTTTCATATTTTAAATATTAGAGAGAGAGATTTTTAAAAGAAAATAAAAGGGTGTTTTTCCTATTTTAAATAACTTGTATTTAGGACAAAAAAAATATTTTGTATTGTAAATATTAATATGAAGAAGTATGGGCGGTTTTAAGCCCCGGCCAGGCTGGGCATGTGTCCGGACTCGGCCCCAAAATTTTGTCTTCTTTTATAAAAGAATATGAAAATTGTGGCGGTTAATAAGTTCTATTATGGCCGTTAAAACCGCTATAATTAACGAAAATGCAGAAAAATAATACTTTTGAATAAAATTTTTCATGTCATCGGTTTTTTGTCGTTGATAATGACAGTTTTAACCGCCGTAATTTAAATAATTTTCATAAATAAAACATAATTTTCCCCCTTTTTTATGCAATTAAACATACATTATATTAATTTTTTTATATGATAATATTTAGATTCAACTATATTACAAAAAGTGCAAAATTAAAATAAAGTTGCTATTTATGACCAAATTAACCAAAAGCATAAAATGAATACTTGAAAAAATAAAATTTAACATAAAAGTAGCCGCTACTGAAATTATAAAAAAAACATGTATAGTGTTGTAAAAAAGAAAAAGAAAAGAATAAATTTTATCTTCAAATAATATAAAAAATATATTAGGTCCAATTTTTCAATTTATGTTCACTCTAAATTATATGGTTCAATTGATGTTAACTAGAAATTTGTATTTTAAATTTAGTTTGTAGTTACAGTAGTTAGTAAATAAAATTATGTTGTTAACTTGTTACTAATTTCAAGAATTATTATGAATCACATGAAATGATATTTCATGTTAGTATCAGTCTCAAATTGGATATGACTATATTAGTTTTAAAATTATGTTGAAATCAATTAAATTAAAAATCTTTTATTTTGATTAATAATTATTTATATATACAATATGAATTTATTGTCTTTAAATTTTTGCCCAGACTTCAAAAACTTCCTGGCTCCGCCACTGTGAAGAAGTGAGTATTTTTTATTATAAAATAAAATGATATTTTTATATTTTTAATAATTAATTTTAGGGACAAATGAATATTTTTATATTTTAAATATTAATAGAAGATGAGAGAGAATATATATTTTAATAAAAAAATAAAATTTTATTTTCGTATTTTAAATTTTGTTTTAAGAACAAATGAGTATTTTTGTATTTTTATTATAAATATTAATAAGGAAGATCGAGAGGCAAAAAAAATATATTTTTAATAAAAAATAAATGAGTATTTATATATTTTAAATAATATGTATCATAGAAAAAAAATTGTATCATAATATAGAGAAGGACCAAAATTTTATTTTTTTGTCTAATCACTATTTCTGATTTTTGTCTTGTCACCTAACATTTTTTAAATCAAATACAAACCATCTAGAGTTGTGCTTTATTCAACCCCTTATTTTTTAATAAATCAATATCATCCTAATTTTACATTACTATGGGTAATGTACTTTATTTTCATTTGAAATGAAATATTAATTAGACAACATATTAAAATTTTGATGTATATATTTAATTTTAAAATTTTTAAATAAAAACAGACAAAAGAGATTAAATATAAATATATAATATAGTATATGTTTGGTTCATGATTGAAATATTTCGAATTGATTTTTGATTAATAAAATCGATTATGATTGTTACACTCGATTAAAATTGGTTATGGTTTTTAAAACTGATTTTATTTAAAATTAGGCTTATAGTTTTTAAATCTAACATTACTTTTACATGAAATTTACAATTCAAAATTTTTTTTTTTAAATTGCCGCACAATTGCATAGTGAGTTCCCATACGCGTATATGATCAATCAATCAGTACAAAGAACCAACAGCTGTGTCGTTGCGTAAATGCACATATAAACCTCAGAATCCAATGTTTCTAAAATAAGTTTTAAATTTTTTTTTTTTTTTTACATTTTCTTTACCCATAGTATGAAGGAAGCTTCACAAAAAAGTTTTAAAAATAACTTGTGTCTACTAAATTAAAATAAATAAAAAACAAAAACCAAGCTGGCAACATTGTCTTATCTTGACCACTCAAGATTTGCTATACCTTGAGAACCAAGCTTCCACATCTCTCTCTTTCTCTCTCTACTATCTATAAATTCTCTCTCTCTTTCCACATTCATCTCAAATCTCATTCTTCAAACATTTCTTCTTCACTAACACCAATCTCAATCTCTCTACTATGGTTAAGTCTCATAGTAACAACAACAACAAGATCAAACAAGAACCATTAACGATAACTAAAACAAATGCAAGTATCTCAGATAATAGCAACAAGATGAAGAAGAAGTATAAAGGAGTAAGAATGAGAAGCTGGGGTTCATGGGTATCAGAGATTAGAGCACCGAATCAAAAAACAAGAATATGGTTAGGTTCTTATTCGACTCCAGAAGCAGCTGCTAGAGCTTACGATGCTGCACTTTTATGCCTTAAAGGTTCTTCCTCAGCTTCAAATCTCAATTTCCCTTTAACAGCCTCTTCTTCAGTTTCACATTGCATTATTCCTCAAGATATGTCTCCGAAATCAATCCAAAGAGTTGCCGCAGCTGCGGCTAATAGTGTCGATGTCAGTGTCAGTGTCAATGTCAACAGTAGCACTCCCTCTTCATCATCTTCGTCTTCAATGGTTTCTTCTTCTGATGGTGTTTCAATTATGTCATCTTTTGATCAAGCGAATGGTGGATCATTGGATATGATGGAAAGTAATTGGTATGGATTAGAAGGTTTAGAGTCTCCGAAATATGTTGATCAGATGCTGTTAAGTGCTTCTTTCTTTGATGTTGAATATTCATCATATTTGCTTGATGATGTGTACGAAGAAAGTGATATTCGTTTGTGGAACTTCAGCTGAAGAAACTTAAATCCTTTTTCTTTCTTTTTTTCCCTTAAAATTCAATTCAAATTCTTTTCTATTCAGTGACACTACTTGAAGATATTAGTGTAAGAAAAAAATCTATGGCTTTAATGCTACATATTATAAGAGATGTTTGATTATTTCCAATTCATCAAAGAGAATAACTAACTTTTTATATCTTATATGTTCTCTCTATTTTTCAATCTCCATCCTTAGATCTCTTTTCTTTCATTTATTCCATCGTATGGTAAAAAGTTGGGATTTAACTGGACCCTCATGTCACATGAAAAAAATCTAGTCCCATACGCAGAGCTTGAAGTAACTTGAAACCATATGAAAGTGGCTTTAACAAAGAGAACTAGTGTTTCCTTGCTTTAGAAGTTTGGTATTTCATGCCTTTTCTTCCTTTAAAACAAAAGGGAAAAGATCACGGTTAGGTTCAAATTTATGTACAAAAATAGATGGGAATGGGGTAAATAAGGGCAAGTTTGCTTTTGAGAAAATGTTGCTACTTACCATAACAAGAGTATTTAAGCATATCTTTGTGGTTGTGAATTGAAAAAAATTCTATAAAGTGGAGGTAGTTTATTGGAGTGTGTTCCAAGGAAAATAAAGATTTTACTAACTAAATAAGTAATGACAAAAAAAAGTTAGAATTTTGACATGTCTTTGTTTCACACTCATAATAAGGGTGTCTTTGACACTCTCTAACATGTGTGGAATACACACTTGAGTACATTGTCTTAGTTCCATCTTTCTTTCTCCATGACATGTCATCGTTTTGCACGCATACGTGTGTGGAACACGTGTTTGACTATGCCTTTCATAATTCATCTTTTTCTAATGGGTCATCATTTATTTAGGGGTCATATTTCTTATGAGCAACACACTTTGTGAGAGACACACCATATATTCACCTAAAATTTTAAGGTAATAAGTATGTAGGTTCTCTCACTTATAAACTCCTCAATTTTCACTTTTCTAATCAATGTGAGACTTTCCCCACTTTGTTTTCCAACACTTCAAACTCACATTTACTAGACCCTCATGTTACTAACATCATGGATGACATTGTAGATAAAGAAGATAAGTTATGGCACACAATACTTAGTCACTTAAACCTCAGAAGTATGACGAAAACTACCCCAAGAAATGCCATCATTGGTTTTCTTGATGTCAAAAATTAAAGAAGGTAAATGATGACTACTCCATATTTGGGTTTATTTGTGAGAAGTCTGATACCTGCAGTGCTTTTGAAGCTCTTTGCCATCACTTAAAACATGAAAAAGGAGAAGAAATTGGTGTTCCTCTTAGTCTTTTGAATTTCAATTATAAATAGTGTGTTGGGAAACATGTATCAGACATTGTTCCTCGCATTATTCCATATTTTGATGAGTTTGATCTGACTGCTATAAATGTTCTTGATATCCTGCCTTTGTATGTCTGTAAGAAGTCATTTTCTCAAGTTTACAAGGCAGGAAGCTAAAGCACTACATGAAATAATTGCTACATCCAAAGAGGTTGTGATTGAAATTCTTAATCAAATGTTGAGTCCAAAGGATATCTATACATTATTTTCTCGAGTTGTTGTTCTAGATGTTGGGAAAGATGTTGAGACCTTAGGTGAAAACATGGTAAGTAGTGACGAAGACATATTTCCGGGGTGTTCCATTAATAACAGGGTGAATATAATGGTTATCAAGCACACAAAATTTATGATGGAATTCGTAAAAGTCTTTGTGAATGATTTTCAAATTGAAGTGACTCACCATGAAGATAAATATTCTGATATCACTAGTCATAATGTTGAGCAATTTATTGCTCAAGACACAGTGAACAAATTACAGTAATCTAAAGTAAAGAAAGTTGTTACCGGAAAAGTCAGTAGTTAAAAGAAAATCTGGAACAAAAAAGAAAGAAGGCTCATGTGGTAGAAGATGTGGAGCAAGGTGTTAACAACAAATTGAATGACATAGAGGTGCCCTTGAATAAGAAAATTAATGAGATGGTTAATGTAAAAAGGCACAACTTGTAGCTCAAGACTATGCTCAAATTAAAGGGGTTAACTTTGATGAAGCTTCTGCTTCCGTTACCTGTATTGAAGCTATTATATTGTTACTAGGATTATTTTGTATCCTTAAGTTCAAACTCTACCAAATAGATGTTTAAAGCGTCTTCCTCAATAGGTACTTGAAAGTGGAAGTCAGTCAAGATATTAGTAATGATGTCAAAAACATGGAGGGTATCATTGTGAAAGACAATGGAATTCTTATGATAACTCAGATTTATATTGACGATATTGTGTTTTGAAAGATGTCATGTAAGCTTTTAGATCATCTTGTTCAACAAAGGCAAGTTGAGTTTGAGATGAGCATGGTAGGATAATTTACCTACTTGGTTTTCAAGTGAAGTAAATGAAGAACAACATCTTTGTTTCCCAAAGTAAGTATGCTAGAAACACTGTAAAGAAATTTGGGCTAGTAAATGGCAGGAAAAATGTACACCTTTTGTTACTCATGCCAAGCTCTCTAAAGATGAAAAAGAATCGGAGTATATTATTGCTAGAAGTAGTTACGCTCAACCATTATGGAGTAACCAAATTATCAAAGATGTGATATAGGATGTCATGACATTCTAATGTGACAACCAGTTAATGTGCTTAAATTTTCAAAAAGACCACATTTTTCTGTTCTCGTTTCTGCTATTCAAACTAATCTTTAAATATGTAATTTCCTTTGCAAAGTTTTGGAGTCAATATGAAAGTATGATAAGAACAAGGAAATGTTTTAGTAATTATGAAATTCCAAAAATATATACATAAAAGAAAGGTATGAAAAAGATGTTGTAGTTACGAAAGCTCATGGTAAGCATCAAGGTCTTTCTTCTCTCGCCAATTTTCTACTAGTACAATAGATGCATTTAATGATTGTGATAATTATATTTCTAAGAATTTGATTGATGTTATTCTGAATGTTAAGGTTTTCACCTCTGAAACTAGTCTTGATAACCCCATGCATAATGTCCCCACTCACTTTGAATCTAAAGAGGTTGGTTATAACATTAATGTATGTGAAGGTATCACTGAAGATGTTAATGGAGATGTCAATGAGGATGACTTTGTAAGTGTAGATGTTAATGACAAAGATGTTATAAATGACGACTTTGATGATGAAATTTCTGTTGTTAGAAAATTCCCTTGAAAAGGAAAGAAGGTCGCTCTTAGCATTGTAGAGCATGATATTGAGGAACTTGTCACACACATATTTCATGACATTAATGATAATGTGATTATTAATGAGTATGATGTAAAGGATGTTATAATGTTAAAATGTTCATTGAAGGAAAGAAGCTTCCTAATATTTCTTCAACTGTTCCTTTTCATTTTGAAGAAAGTGCAATCAAATGGAATTTTGTTTACAAAAGGAGTATGGCTCTTGATAAACTCTACGTTGAAGCATTGGAGTATAATGAAATTACGAAGCCTCTTAGTGATGCTCAATCACTAAAGACAATGTTGAATGTTGGATCTTGTTATCCTAAGTTGGTAAAGGAATTTGTTGCTAAACTTCCTATTGATTTACTCTCTTTAATTTATGGTGTAATGAATGATGATAATCCTCATAGAGTGCTGCATTTCAGTTACAAATTTTTAATTGGGAAAAATGTCTCTGACATTAGTCTTCCCAATGCTTATATTATTGATGTCTGGTTTAGTTAGTGATGAAGATATGCCTGATATGGAACGTACGTTTGCACCGACAAAAAGTCACATTCTCAAGGCACTTATCCATGAAGCCAAGGCTCTGCAGGAAATCATTGTCATATCTACTGTTGGAAAAGATGTTTTATGATGGTATTGTTAAAATCCTAAGTTTGCAATCAATGCAATCTGATGTGCATCATTGGTTTTCTATGCCAGGTAGGAACTCATGTTACCTTGAAATATGGATAATATTATCTTTATTAATTTGCTAAACATGTCAAGTCTCATGTTGTCCAGCCACCTTTTGACGTTCGCTCTTTAATCTATGGTATTTTGAGTAATCAAAAGAAATACATTATTATTTGTGGTGATGAGGTTGGTTCTTCCCCAAGTGTGTTGACTTCTGATTGTTAGAAAGTATGTTGATGACATTGTGATACACATTTTTACTCCTGTTGATGAAACTAATTTTAATTTTGATGAAATATTGTGTGGGCCTATGAGAAGTCATATTCTTAAAGGGTTTGATTCATGAGAGACAGTCGCGTCTAATTTTAAAAAAAAAATGTTTGGTCTCCCAAATCTGCTGGAGCTTTTTCATCTCAACATGTGGTTGCTGCTACTACTGTTTTGGCATTCCTTTGTACTTGTGCCCATTATGAGATGGCTATTTCTATTACCCATTTCTTATTTTGACCAATTATTAGGATATAATGATATAATTATATGCAATAAAGGATGTTGCTTCTATCATGTGCTCATAAGAAGTTGTATGATGTTGTTATCTGTAAGCTCATGTTTATGGTCATGATTTAGCTAACATGTTTCTGGTTTTGCTGCACCCTTATGATATAATTTGGAAGAATGTGGGAATTAATATGCATAACATCTTGCTTGCTGGCCGAACCTACTGATGTTTTACTGATTTCTTTGATGTTTTTATGTTCTGTCTTTGATCTATACTATTTGTGCTTTACTGCACCCTTATAATATAATTTGGAAGAATGTGGGAAAGAATGTGTGTAACATATTGCTTGTGTACTATGTTTGATATGTGGTTGTGTTATATGTGTTTTGCCTAAAAAATAGTTAAAGGGGGAGATTGTTATTACATTTGAATTGACTTATTTTTATAGGAAAAATGGAAATCAATGTCTCAAAAGTTGTTGAGAACATATTGGCAAATTTGGTCATGTATTTGATTCATGAGTTATTACAATATTTGGTTCAAGTTTACTCGGTCTGAGATTCTATTGAAATTTCTTTGTAATAAAGAGTTGTTTGGAAAATTATG